TATCATCCATTTCATCATAGGAGGCTACTAGAGGTACTAATCTGTGCTCAAACTCGTGTAGTTGGTGTTCTAGTTGAATCTAGGGTTTTCTTGTGCTTTCTTTGGCTTGGATTCGAAGTATGTGAGGTCCCAAGGTGGAGTTCTTTATAAATCTGGACCTTAAGAGGTCCAGAGAGCCCTATTCACATTGCTTTTTGCTACTCCATTAGAGATATGGCCCTAGGTTGCCATTTTAGGGGTTATTTCACCCAAAGAAGCTTTTTGGTCATTGCATGAGTCTAAAGGTCAGACCTTTACATGATTATAGTGGTTGGGAAGGCCAGATCTATGGTATAGAGGAACAGATCTAACCTCAGAAGGTCGTTTGAGTGTGAGCATGGAATGTACTCGCCGAGTCCATGAGAGGACTCGACGAGTTGAGTCGGGTTGCCCCGCGAGTCGCGATCTGTGACGACCCGTGTAGCATAGGGTTGACTCAGTGAGTCAAGAGAGGACCAGGGGCGAAGAGGGCAGGCGTGTACTCGCCGAGTCACCCTAGTGCACACGGCGAGTCGGGTCAAAGTTGACCGTTGACTTTTGTTGACTTTAGGGTTCTGGTCAGGACTGATTCGGGAGAGTTCAAGGAAGGGTAGAATGGCCTTCTACCCAGTTATAGAGATGAGATCATGAGAGAATATTGATCAGGATGTTATTTGAATAATAGGAGGAGGCTAAGTCGGGACGTTGAGCACGAGAGTTCATCCGACTTCATTGAGGTGAGTCTTCTCACTATACTGTACCTGGAAGGGTACCTATGTGTGACCGGAAGGTCTTGTATGCTATGAGATGCATGTGTTCTATGCGGTTATGTGATATGTATGTGTTATATGCAGTTATGTGATATGTATGTGCTATGTATGTTATGTATGGTATGGACCGGAAGGTCAAGATGATATGGACCGGAAGGTCAAGAGGTTACAGACCGGAAGGTCGATAGGGGTAGGACCGGAAGGTCTACCGGGATTTGGGACGGAAGTCCCCTGAGACACATGGATCGGAAGATCCTGTAGAGTATGGCCTGGAAAGGCGTATGTGGGGTATGTGGTATTTTGGGGAACTCACTAAGCATTTATGCTTACAGTTATTGTGTGATGTGTTTCAGGCACTAGCGAGGATCACGGGAAGGCGCCGGCATGATCTGTACACACTGAGAGGATTTCTGTTTATGAGATCTTGGGACATGTTTTTATTATGACACAATGATACATTATGTTTTGTGATTGTCATGTGGTTGAAAGTATGTTTTAAAAAATGAAAAATTGTTTTGAAAAATTACGTCGTTACAATTCTTTCAATCTTCCTTTCACACTCCAAGTAGCGTTCAGGATCAGTTCCACCAACAAATTCAGGCAATTCAGACACCTTCAATTCTTCCACAACCCTATGTTCACCACGGCGGGGTTGCCTTCGATTTCCACCTTCTTGGACGTTTCTTAATGCTTCGCGAAGATTTTGTAGGAACTCCGGATCATCAAAATCCATTCTGCTCGCTGATACCCAAAACCCTAATCCTTCACTGCTCTCATTCAGAAACTCGAAACCGGGTAAACCCTACCCGATTCGTCGAGTCAACTAAGGGAATCGACGAGTTACTTCAGTCACTTTTATGTTCATCCCTTTTCGGTGGGATCTAAGGTCCCAAACTTCATATCCAACCTCCCCTAGTGCAGATACCACTTAAAGTTGCAAACTTTACCTGCATGCAAGGTCCTCCAAGGCTATAACATCAAAACTAATCTTCCTACAAGGTTTTAGTGCATGGAAAGGGCCTAAGATGGATAAAGTGAGCAACTTTATGTCATTAGGGACCTAGAGAGGTCCAGATCTGGTACCATATCCTTGTGATAAGTCCAGATCCGAGTATGACCCTATTTTGCACCCAAAAGTGACCATACCCTTCCATGTAATGCGATATAAGCAAATAGAGATCAAGGTGGTAACTTTTTACCTCTAATGGATGCTCACAACCAGTAGATGCTAGATCCCAAGCCTTCTCCTCTATTCAAGCTCCTCGACCTTCAAGTTTCCTTCTAAAAAGCACAAGTTTTACTCTCTAAGACTCACACACACTCAAGGAAGCTCAAATATGCGGCTAAGGTTTCTTTCTGGGCTGTAAATGATGCGTGTATGGGCTTGATTTAGTGAGTGGGGGTAGTGTTTAGGTCAATTAAGCTAGAATAACAACCACAAATATATGGAAAGAAAATGATAGATTTGATAAATAAACTAGACCTATAGCTTGTAAATCTGAAGACAAACTAAGACCTATTAGTTTGAATTCGATCAACTCAAGGATCACGTCCAAAAGATGATAATTTGTGAACTATAACAATAATTCAAAGTGAAAATAAGGGTTCTTTGATTAAAATTCATATATCACTTTTTCCATGCATAAACTTGGCTTTATATGAAGCCTTTATTACAAATTTGGTGGTTACAAGCCAACCAACCAATTATTCATTAAAACTAGTAAATGAAAAAAAAACGTCTGTTCTTCATTAAGGATCCATAAGAAGCATTAAGGAGCCATTAGAAGCATTAAGTGCAACCCTAATCCACCAAAGAGTACTAAAAACGGCTCGGAGGCTTTATGAAGCAAAAAAGTAACGTTTTTAGCACTAATGAAGCCTTAAAAATGTTTCCCTAGCCTTCATGCAACCCTAATTCAATTTGTGTGTTACCATGCACAACCTAACCATTGAGCCCAAACCAACTTCTAGCCCACTAGTAATCACTAATCCATCACCTTTTGGGCTTTCATGATCCATGCATGGATCAGTAAAGACGATGAGGGAGGCTACAAATGAGCCATAAATCCTTTAAATAGGGTACAAACCCCTAAAAATTACGATTTCTCTCTACAGAGCCTACTCGTCGAGTCAGGGCCTTTAGACTCATCGAGTAAGATTTAAATCCCGCGTCCTCCTAATAGTCTCAACTCGACGAGTTAGAGCTCTCCAACTCACCGAGTCCATGCACAAAACCCTAAAAACTAAATAAGTTAAATAATACCTGAAACAGGCATTACAACGGTGGTACGATATGACCACAGCATTGTCGGGAGCTCATCTACCCAGACAGACTTTGATCTGAGTAACCTTTTCTCTAAACCATTAACTATGGCTTTGTTTGATATCTCGGTTTGTCCATTGACCTGAGGGTGTGCCATTGACGTGAACCGACGGTGGATCTTCTTGCTTTCACACCACTACTTGAAGGGGCTCCCTTCAAATTGTGTGCGATTGTCACTTATGAGCACTTTGGGTGTCCAAAGCAGGCCAATATATTTTTCGTCATGAACTTTATCATTTGCTTTCCCGAGACGGTGGCCAGCGGTTCCGCCTCTATCCATTTTGTAAAATAATCCACAACAACTAATAAGAATTTCACAACCCCTGGCGCTTGTGGGAATCGTCCCACTATGTCAATCCCCTACTAATGGAAGGGCCAGGGGCTGGTGATGCTGGTCAACGACATGGCCGATTGATTATTACATTTCTTGGTTAGGTCTGATGCGTCATTGTATATGTTTGGCCAATATACTCCTAGGCAGAGTATTTTGCCCGTGAGTGCTCAAGCCCCATCGTGTGATGTCGTGTCTCCGGAATGACTTTCCTCCAGGAGCACCTGTCCTTCTGTCTTAGAGATGCACTTTAGCCATTGGCTTAAATACCATCTTCGATACAGTTGGTTGTCTCTAATTGCAAAATGTGACGCCCTGACCTTGACTATTCTTGCTTCTGCCAAGTCGTCTGGGAGTACACCGTGGTGCAAGTAATCGACATATGGTTTGGTCCATTCTGGGGTAGTTGAGACTATATTGACCTTTTGATTATCAATGCTTGTCTCTGGGAGCACTTCGACTAACACTTTCTTTGTTATGTGATCAAAGGAAGTTTATGCTAGCTTTCTGAGAGCGTCCGCCCTCGCATTTTTTCCACAGGAAATTTGCTTGTAGGTATTTTTGTTGTGGACTGCATCTAGGTATTTCTGGATCCTTGGATCTTTGACTTCATATGTTCCGTTCATTTGGTTCGTGATGAGTAACGAATCACTGAGAGATGCTAATCACTTTGCACCAACCTCCCTTGCTAACCTCAGACCTACTAGGCGTGCCTCATATTCCGCTTCGTTATTAGATACTTGGAAATCGAATCGCAGTGCGTAAGTGATTTCTTCGCCTTTGGGGCTTTGAAGGATCAGGCATGCGCTTGAGCCTTCCTTACTTGTTGCACCGTCGGTATATAATTTCCAAAGCTCTTTGTTCGCTTCAGGCTCCAATGGGTCGACGGAGGTTGTCGTTGGTATTCCCTTGATAGTATCCGGGATTTTGAATAGGAAATTTGCTAGGGCCCGAGCCTTGATGCTAGTATGGGGGTGGTAATTGATATCGTGTTCACCTAATTCTATGGCCCACTTGGCTAGGTGTCCAGTTTTTTCTGGCCTTAACAGAACTTGCTTTATTGAGTAGCTGGTTAGGACATCCACCTTATGAGCTTGGAAATACCGCTGTAGCCGCTTGGCAGCGTATACTAGGGCGAGGACCAGTTTCTCTAAGACTGGGTAATTAACCTCTGGCCCTTGCAAGTCCCTACTTACAAAGTGGATAGGGACCTGTTTACCTTTCCTTTCCACTATCAACACGGAGGAGATAGCTTCTTCCGATGCTGCTAGGTACATATGTAGCGTTTCTCCTGGTAGCGGGCAAGCGAGGGCCGATAGCTGGAGTAAGGCATCTTTCAGTCGTCGTAATGCTCTATCTGCTCTTTCTATCCATCTGAATTGCTTTTTATCTAAGCACCCTTTGAGGGTTAGGTATAGGGGAAGCTCCTTTTCTGCTGATTTAGCAATAAATCTTCCTAATGCCGTTAGCCGACCATTGACCTCTTGTACACCTTTGAGGTTGTAGGGAGTTTTCGACTCGAGGAACTCTTGGAATTTTATGGATTGGGCAGAATCCCTTACTTAGATATCTGATACCCAAGGAATTGACCTTCTTTTACGCCGAAAGTACACTTGGTTGGGTTTAACTTCATCTGCGCTTTAGCTAGTGTTTTAAGAGTCTCTTCCACATCATGGAGTAATGTTTCTTCGTTACGGCTCTTGATTACCATGTCATCAACATAGACCTCGATGTTCCTACCAATTTGATCAGCGGATATCTTGTCCATTAGTCTCTGATATGTAGCGCCCGCGTTTTTGAGTCCAAACGGAATTTTCTGGTAGCAGAAAGTGCCCCTCTCGGTGTGAAAAGTTGTTTTCGCCTCGTCTTCTCGTTTCATCTGGACTTGATGATAACCTTTGTACGCGTCAAGGAAACATTTGAACTGAAACCCTTCAAGCGATTGGACTTTCTGATCTATCTCCGGATGGGGATAATGATCCTTTGGACAAGCGTTATTAAGGTCTGAGTAGTCAATGCACATTCTCCATGACCCATTGGCTTTATTTACCATAACAGGATTTGCTATCCATGTTAGGAACATCGCTTCCCTAAGTATGCCGGAACTCACTAGGTCAGCTACTTCTGCATTTATAGCCTTGTTCCGGTCTTCCGTCTGGCCTCTCTTATTTTGTATGACAGGATTGCTTTCGTGCGTGATGTTGAAACTGTGCTCTATAACTTGTCGGTCTACGCCTGTCAGATTTGTTGGCTTCCATGCAAAAACAACGGAATATTGCTTCAGGTGAGCACCGATTCACACAAGCTGCTCTGGGTATTCTCCGTTTACCTGGTGTTGTTCAATGGAACAATCCTTCTTCGACTTTTTTGGAGCTCGTACCAACTCAGAAGAAGCTATGATCTGATGGCAGTGTTGTGCCCTGGTGTTTGTGGCAATAATTGTTGCTGATCCCTGGCGTGTGCTAAATTTAACTATGCCATGTATCGTCAATGGCACGAACTGTAGTAGGGAGATTGTTTATCGTCCGAGCAGAATATTGAGTTCTGCTGGAAACCGAATTATAGAAAATTCGATTGTTCTTGTGATTATGTCCCTTTTGTCATGACTTACCAACGTTAAAGGCAGTCGGATAGTGCCCAATGGCCACAAGCTGTGACCGGTTAACCCCACCAATGGTCCTCCAGTTGGGGGCCCTAGCCCCTCCTTCCATATCTCCGGTAGTTACCTGAAGCAGTGCTCGTAGAGTATGTCAGAGCTACTACCATTGTCAATGTATATCCGATGGATTTTCGTATGGCGAATGAATCCAGATATGAAGAGTGGATCTCGTGGATCCCAGTTCAACGGCCTGGAATCGCTACTCGAAAAAGTGATATTGAGTAGATTTCTCGAGAGTACCTCTATCTCATCCTCCGTTTGGTGAGTTGCGTTTCTCTTACGGGATTTAGAGATAGTGAGTACCTCGTTGCCATCATACGGAGGTTCCTGCAGCAAATCGAGATGTGTTATCGCCATTTGAGGTCGCAAACCTTCTGACGATAGTTGGCGGAAACTGCTCTTGAGTACTGGCTCTGCTATTTCTGTCATAATTGGCGGGACCCGCACCATTAGCACCAAGATTGGGGCGTGTGTTCTACACTCGCGGTGATGTTCCTCGTTTACTATCACCGGTGTTCTGAACAGACCCTCTCTTCTACCATCCCGGTTGCTGCTGGGTTTAGGTCCCCATTTCGTAGAGAACCAGTGTCGTCTGTTGGCTGTATCACTCTGAGGATATGTCCGGATGACGCCAAATGTTGTGACATCGCTCTTCAGGGAATTGGTCGTTTGTTGACGAGTTGATCTTGGAGGTTTGCCTGAGAACACAACACATAAGAGTCGTTAGAGGACGACCGGGGGTTCTCCCGGGACGTCACTCCGACGATCATGTTAGCTTTATTTCTGAGAGAGATTTAGGTAGAATTATATATGGAAGAGAGGCGTGGCACTTTCCTACTGGGAGAAGTATGTTCACGTCGTCTGACAGTTAGGTGACGTCAGTTATTGGTGTCATCCGACTCTTTGTCATGACCGGATTGGTCATGAGAGAATGAGAGAATTACGAGGAATATTCTTCCTCGTGGGGGAAAGTGAGTTGTCATCTTGACGCTGGCTTGTCCGGGCTAAGATTGAGACCCGGCCAAGACCCTAGCGAGATAACATCCTGTCAGTGCTTTCTGTCAGGTTTAACGTGGTTGCATATGGTAACGTTAACAGGTAACGTGTGGAGTCATTATACAAACCCTATTTTACGGATGATTTCGGGGCATAGTCATCCTAAGGGGGAGATAATTGTAATGCCCGCAGATTTCGGCTAGACAAATAAGATGTAATAAGCGACAAAAATGACCTTTGTTAGAATATTATTTAGGATAAAATAGCCTTAACCAAACTTATAGTATATATGAAAAGGATTATGTTCGTATAAAGAACTCTGAAATTCGACTTCGTATGAAGAAGTTATGCTTCTTCGAAGGTTCACGATTATACCGACATGGCTATGCATGTTGTAAAAAGTGAATTTAGATAGGTTGCTTATTAGCCTATGTAATATAAAAAGAAATTTGTAGTAACCATAAAAACAAGAGCGTGCATATAGAGAAAGTCCAAATATGACTTCATAAGAGGAAGTTATGATTTTTATAATATTTCAGCGTAACAATGTTAGCACATAAATCGAATTTTAGATCGGCTGATTGTTGTCTGAAACAATCTAAACGTGAGTCGAAGATCTTTTAAATAGGAGTCCGTCAATATAAAGACAGTGGAGAACGGATGTTGTATGCGAGAGTTATGATTTTTATATGGAGTTTAACAGTCTAATCCTGTTAAAAATATAACTTAAAAAATAAAGTGAGACCTAGCCGACGGAGTCAAAACGAAAGTTGTAGATCTCGTCAATAGTTATGCATGGATATAAAGAACGTCAACAACGGGGTTCGTATGGTGGAATGAAAACCCTATGTACTCACCAGGTTTCCCAACCTGACCCACTCAGTTTCTTTGTATCACGGGTATCGATACGAATGTTTTTGATGTTTGGATCTAATGAATGATTAAAGGAAACGTAGGCCATTAGATATTGTAAGGCTAGTAATGATTACGTTTATGCTTATGTTTCTTGTATCACTTATGACATTCCAAAGTTTTTAATAATCAATGAAAAACATTTCTTCAAAAATACTTTTGATGGTACAAATTACACTATATAAAGAATACTCTGTTTTTAAAATAAGCATAAATAAAAAGGTATTTTCTGACCGTTAAAGTAGGTATGTCACAATTACCGTGATCTGAACAAGTTTACAGTGAAGAATCGGTACCCTTTACCGAGAATCGATGACATATTTAATCAGCTACAGGGGCATCATGGTTCTCGAAGATTAATTTGATGTCATGTATCACCATATGTGTGTTAGGGTGACATGCATATAGAAGACGGTGTTTCACACACACTAAGATCATTATGAGTTTGTGGTGATGCCTTTCGGTCTCACCAATGCACCCGCAGCCTTCATGGATCTCATGAATCTGGTGTGTAGACCGATGTTGGACCGCTCGATGATAGTGTTCATCGACGATATTCTTGTCTACTTGTAGACAAGAATATCGTCGATGAATACTATTATTGAGCGGTCAAACATCGGTCTACCTTGTAGACAAAGGAGGAGCATGAGGTGCACTTGTGGGAGGTGTTAGAGACACTCAGGAGAGAGAAACTTCATGTAAAGTTCTCCAAGTATGAGTTTTGGTTACAAGAGGTTCAGTATCTTAGACATTCCATGAACCAGAAGGGTATTATGGTCGATCCGGCCAAGTTTTCGGCAGTGATGCAACGTTAGCTACCAAAGACTCATACTGAGGTTCGGAGTTTTCATGGGTTGGCTAGATATTACCTGAGATTTATCCAGGACCTCCCCAAGATAGCACTTCCTTTGGCCCGACTGACGAGGAAGACTTCAACTTTTAGTTGGGGTAGCAAGCAATAGACACTTTTTGAGGACCTGCGTAGATAGTTGTGCGAGGCCCCGATTCTGACACTATCAGATAGGATAGAGGATATGGTAGTGTATTGTGATGCGTCACATCAAGGTTCGGGGGTTGTGCTCATGCAGTGTGGTATGGTTATAACATACGCCTCAAGGCAGTTAAAGCCCCATGAAGCGAAGTAACCGACGCATGACCTGGAGTTGGGGGAAGTAGTCCTTGCCCTCAAGATTTGGAGGCATTATGTTTATGGAGTGAAATGAATGATCTTTACTGATCATAAGAGTTTGAAGTACTTGATGGGCCAACAGAATCTGAATATGCATAAGGGGAGATGTTTAGATGTAGTCAAGGACTATGATTATGAGATACTTTACCACCCACATTGTAACGCCCTCAGATTCGGGCTAGTCAATTTAGAGACAATAAGCGTTAAAAATGACTTTTTGATAGAAGATTATTTAGCATAAATAATCTTAATCAAAGTTATAGTATATGTCACAAGGATTCCGTACATATAAATAACGCTAAAATCTGACTTATAACGAAGAAGTTATGAACCGTCGAAGTTTTGCGACAAAACCGGCACGGCGCCGCTATCCTAAAAAGTGAATTTTTGATAAGCTACTTTTTAGCCTTAGCAATCTAAACGAAATTCGTGACATATATTAAACCGAGAACGTACATAAAACGAACATCCAAATCTGACTTCGTTTGAAGAATTTTAGATCGATTGACTTTTAGCCGACACAACCCAAAAGAGAATTGAAGATCTCATTAATAGGAGCTCAATGATCTAAAGACAAACAAAAACGGACATCGGATGACAAAGTTATGAATTTTTAATGGACTTTAACTGTGTAAGCCTGTAAAAATAAAAATTCAAAAATAAATTCAAAATTAGCCGACGAGTCGAAGCAAAAGTTATAGATCCCGTCAATACCTACGCGTGGATATAAAGAACGTAAAAAACGGAGCTCGTACGGATTTTAGAAGATAATTAGTTTTTGGAGTAATCTACGAGTGACATGTGGCGTGATCTGAGCCACTGCTTCTTCCCCACTCCTTGCCACCAGATGGTGACACTTAGCACCCCAACACGACATGTTGGGCTCAGGAACACGCCGTGTTGCTTGATTTCCATCCTATAAATAGAGGTGCAAATCACCTCATTTCCTCACACATTCTCTCAACTTCTCTCCCAAACCTCCCCAAAGCCTCAAGGATTTTCTCTAGTCCTTCTTAGGAGTTTTTAGTGAGTCCCGAAGCGCCAGAAGGCTCTGAGAAGAAGAGCTTTCGGCTTAGAAGTTCTGCACGCGCAGAGCCCGGTTCCTTGCTAAACCCCCTTGTAAGTAACTTATGCTTAACCTACTTTAAGTATGTCACAACTAGGAATTCTGATACGTTGTAAACACTTAAACAAAGAATCACATTGTAGCTAAAACTAGAAAACATGTATGATGTTTATTCAATGACAACAAAATTCCATCAAATAC